TCCAGAGTCAGTAAGTACTCTATACAGCACCAGAGGATTGACAGCCCTGAGTCATCACAGTCTTTACCAGCAAACCAAGAAAGGCCTGGTTCTTCACGGGTGGTGCATGGAGACCAGACTGGTTCAGGCTGTGTTGGAAGTGTACTCAGAGCCCACTGTCCCCAGAACTTGAGTGGGCTGGGTGCTCAGACCAGCCTTCAAAGGCTGTATCCACTCACTGCTCCTAATCATCTCTAGACCTGTCTGCTCATGTGTAGCCGCTCTGGGTTGCACGCAGGCCCAGAACAAAGGAGATTTGCAGGGAAGACTAGAAGAAAGACTAGAAGATGGTTTGGTATCGGAAAAGGAGGGGTCCTCTGAGGGGTGGGTGAATTTGAGTTGGATACTCCTATAACTCTGTTTCTCTATTTTTTTCCTCTTTGTTTCTCTCCTTCATGCCCATTCTACTCCCTCCTCTCCTCCTGTTCCCCAGCTGTGCTGACTGTCCTCACCCACAACCCCACCGCTCGGATCCAACTGGGACAAGATGCTCTGCTGGACTTGAAATTTGCCTACATGCCCTCCATTTCTGAGGCTGCTGCCTCTCTGGCCCCAGGTCCCCCTCCCTTTGGGCTGGAATGGCGACGCCAGCACCTGGGAAAAGGGCACCTACTCCTGGCTGCAACTCCAGGGCTGCATGAGCAGATGCCAGCTGCCCAAGACGGGGCAGTGGCATTTGCTGCCTGGGATGATGATGATCCATGGGGTCCATGGACTGGAAACGGGACCCTCTGGCTGCCTGCAGTACAGCCTTTCCAGGAGGGCACCTATCTGGCCACTGTACACCTACCATACCTGCAAGGGCAGGTTGCCCTGGAGCTTTCTGTACAGAGTGAGTTGGGGTACAGGGATCCCCATGGGTAAAGCAAAGGTGGGCACTTGATAATGGCCATACCATAATGGAGGAAGGATGGGGGAGAAGAGGGTGCTGGGTGAACGGCAGGAGGTAGACTGTGATCCTTGGGAATCAGAAAGGCAATGGGTAGAGGTCCCTGGGAATTTAAGTGACTGGGATGAAGGTTCCCAAATATGAGGAACAGGATCCTTGAGAATATGGGTTTCAGCATGGGGTTTCCTGTGAAGCACCAGTGGGGAGACAGTGGGTTCCCCATCCTGGAAGAAAAAAACCAAACCACCTCAGTTTGGGGGAAGCCATAGGGCAAACTGATAGAGATAAATGTGGATTGATTCCCCCATGCTCCTTTCCTATTTTCTCCCCAGAGCCCCCCAAAATATCCTTGACACCGGCACCTCTTGTCTGGGCTGCCCCTGGGGAGGCACCCCCCGAGTTGCTCTGCCTTGTGTCCCGCTTCTATCCTGCCAAGGGCCTGGAGGTGGAATGGGAGCTCCGGGGTGGCCCAGAGGGCAGCTTTCAGAAGGCTGAGGGGCAGAGCTGGCTCTCCGGCCTGCGCCACCACTCAGATGGCTCTGTCAGCCTCTCTGCGCACCTGCAGCCCATCCCAGTCACAGCCAAGCACCATGGAGCGCGCTACGCCTGTCGTGTCCACCACCCCACCCTGCCCACTTTGGGGCGCAGTGCAGAAGTCACCCTGGAGGTGGCAGGTAGGAGCCAGAAGGGTAATCGAGCAGCCAGGGGTGGGGTGGTGGGGGTCCAGGGGTCCAGGAGGATACTACAGAGTTTACTCTCCCCACTTCCACCTGCCAGGACTCTCTGGGCCCTCCCTGGAGGACAGCGTGGGCCTCTTCCTGTCTGCCTTTCTCCTCCTTGGGCTCATCAAAGCGCTGGGCTGGGTGGGTAAGTGTGACTCTCATTGCCACAGTGACAGTCCCTGCCTACTCCCAGAAGCCTGACACCTATCCCTCTACCATACCACACCTCCATCCCAACCCTTCTTAATCTCTCTCCACAGCTGCCTCCAGGTCTACTTCAAAGGATCCAAAGGAGAAGGTAACAGGCCTCTTCCTTTTCTTTCCATTGTCATTTGAGCTCCTCTTGGAACTTCTCACCCATGGAGGGAGCCTGCTGGCATGGGGGGGGGGGGGCAGAACTTGGAATTCACAGACCTGGGTTAACTCCTGCCACCTTAAATATTCTACTTCATACCTCAGTTCCTTGAGTGTCAAGATAAAAAAATGACTTAGGCAGCACTGTCCGACAGTATGATGCCAGCCACGTATGTTAATTTAAATAATCTAGTAGCCACAATAAAAAGGTAGTAACAGGTAATATTAATAATACCATTTATTTCATCTAATATATCCAAAATGTTATCATGTAACATGTAATCAATATAAGAAATTTTAGTATTTCTGTTCTAAGTCACCTAAAACAGGTGCTTCTTTTAAACTGTCAGCTCCTGGGCAGCCTGGGTGGCTCAGCAGTTTAAGCGTCTGTCTTCAGCCCAGGGTGTGATCCTGGAGACCTGGGATTGAGTCCCACCTCGGGCTCCCTGCATGGAGCCTGCTTCTCCCTCTGCCTGTGTCTCTGTCTCTCTCTGTGTGTCTATCATGAATACATAAATAAAATCTTAAAAAAAAATGAACTGTCAGCTCCTGTCAGTTCAGACTGGCCACATTTCGAATGTTGCACAGACACATGTGGGTGGTGGCTACTGTACAGACAGCAGAGCCTCAGAGGGCTGTTGGGAGGATTAGGCAAAATCACTCGGTGCTGTGTGTGCCAAGCAGAAAACCCACAGAGACCGTTCTTCTGCCGCCCTCTGTGCTCACGAGGGTTCATTTACCTCTGGACTGATTGTGAGCATTTCGTTTTTCAAAGATTTTATGTATTCATTCATGAGAGACACACACAGAGAGGCAGAGACACAGGCAAAGGGAGAAGCAGGCTCCATGCAGGGAGCCCGATGTGGGACTCAATCCCAGGACCCTGGCATCATGCCCTGAGCTGAAGGCAGGTGCTCAACCACTGAGCCACCCAGGTGCCCCTGATCATGAGCATTTCAATTTCACCTCTCTTTCTAAAACCTGGAATTCCTCACCTCGTTTTATTTTTCTTCCAGAAAGCACAGTGAGGCCACTCACCACCATCCTGGGGAAGCTGCCACCATCTCTGGCCTGAGCTACTGGAGTAGCTCCCCCAAATCGTACACCATCATCTTGCTCCCTCCAATCTCTCTCCACAGAACGGCTGGAATGCTTTTTCAGAGGATACAAATCTGTAGCATTTCCTTTCTTAGAGTGCTAAGGCAGTGCAGTGGTTCTCAAATTCTTTAAGTCTCAGGACTGCTTAAAAAGTGTCAATGACGCTAAAGAGCTTTTGGTTACGTGGGTGACAAACTACAGATATTTATGCTACCAGAACTTACAACGGAGAAAAATTTAACAAAAGAATATGCAAGAACATGTTCCATTAGCTGTGAGGACAAGGATATCAGCGTGCAGCTTCTGGAAAGCTCCAGGGTGCATTTCTTTGGAGAGAGTGAAAAAGGCAAGGAACATTTTAGTATTGTTACCAATAGTCTTAACTTTGCACACCCACTGAAATAGTCTCCAGGATCTCTGGGACAAGGGCCACACCTGAGAACCAGTGCCCTAGAAGCCAAACCCATTCTTGTCCTGCCACGCATCTCCGGGGCTGGAGCCGCTGCCTGCCCCTACAACCCCACCCGGTGCCCTCCAGCCCTTCCCTCAGTGTTCATCTCACCGAACGCCATTTCTCTTTTCCAGTGGCTCCCACCTTCCCTGTCTGCTCCCTATGTCAGGTCCACCCCTCGCCCTTCTTGGGCTGCAGACCAGGTCAGCCTCATCCCCTCAGACCGCCGCGTGTCCCTCCTGTGCGGTTCACCACACTTGCATTTGGATGATGGCGCGAATCCTTGTTAGATGCCTGTCTCCGCTCCCGGGACTGCCGGTTCCTCGGAGGCAGGAACGTGCCGGTGCGTCCACCGCGTGGTCCTGCTCCCGCACAGGCCCGGTGCCCACTGGAGGGCGCTCAACGCAAGACATTAGTCCTTTTTTCGTCCTCTGTATTTGAAAGCAGGTGTTGGACGAAGTGACTACTGGAGGAAGGAAGTGGCAGCTCGGACTGGGGGCCTCCAAGGGAGGACGGTCAGTTAGACCGAAGCGGGTCTAATCGTGCGGGAATAAAGTTGTGTCCTGTACTCCCAACACGGTGTCTCCTGCTACCCCACGGGTCCCCCTGGCAAGGGAGCACAGGCTCTTACAGCCACCTCTGGTCCCTTCCTCTTTTTTTTTTTTTTTTTAAGATTTTACTTATTGATTCATGAGACACACAGAGAGAGAGAGGCAGAGACACAGGCAGAGGGAGGAGCAGGCTCCCTGCAGGGAGCCCGACGTGCGACTCGATCCCGAGCTTCCAGGATCAGGGCCTGAGCTGAAGGCGGCGCTAAACCGCTGCGCCACCCGGGCTGCCCTCACCCCGACCGCTCAAACGCTTTGGCGACACCCCAGTCCCCGGAACGTTGTGGGGTCGGGGGCCACCAGCGGCGGGCGAGACGCCCTGTGCCGCGGGAGCGCACGTACCACGCCGAGCGCCGGAAACGCGGGACAGAGGAACCGAGAACCGGAAGTGGCGGCTTCCTGCCCCGCCCCCTTACGCGAGGGCGGGAACCCCGCGCTTCTCGGAAAACGCGGACTGGATTCCGGTCCGCTACACGCGTGGGTGCGGGTGGGGAGTGTAACCCCGTCAGGGGGAGTAAGCGATCCCTGTCGGCCTAAAACGCTTCCCCCGGGAGTTTTAGCTTCGGTGTTGTCGGGGGCAGGGGAATGTCAAATCCGGCTCCTATCCTCCCTCGGGATCGGGAGACGGGAATCTACTCGGATTGAGTGCGGGGCGGCGTGGGCTCCAGGATCCCTGAGCAGGGGTTCCGAGGACAGCGGGCCGGGGCCCGTGACTGCTGGGTCCTGGCCGCTGGGCGCCCAGCGCTCCCCGAGTCCGCGGCCCTGGCTCCTGTCCTCACTTCCTTCCCGTTTTGGCTCCTGCAGTTGGAGCAGGCGGACGTGGGGTGGGGGGGGGACGAGCGGAAAGGGCGGGAGGGCCCGGGAGCCTGGCGGGCGGTAACGGGGGTGCGGAAAAGCCGAGGAGGGGACTCGGGCCAGGGACTCGGTTGGGGACCGGAGACCGACGGGAACAGCGGCCCGGGACCCGCGCTGCTCCCACCGTTCCCGAGCAGGTCAGAGCCTGAGCACCCTGTGACCCTGCCCGTTCCCGTACTCGTGACCCCCAAACCCCAAATGCACCAGGGACCCCCATAGTCCACTCCTGTGTTGCTTCCCTCCCCAAACTCCCATACGGTCACCTGGGCACTCACCCGCGTCCCTCCCCTCCCCGATCCCCCGCGCCCACCTGACTCTCCACCTGCCCCCCGTTTCTCCCCAGGCGCCCCCATGGCCCGACCCCGCTGATTCCTTCACTCGGCCATGCTCCCGCGGCCCCTGCGGCTGCTTTGGGACGCGAGTCCCCCCGGGGGAGTCGTGCTGAGCAGCTTCCGGAGCCGAGACCCCGAAGAGGGTGGGGGCCCAGGTGGCCGGGGCGTGGGCGGGGGGCAGGAGGAAGAGGAGGAGGAGGAAGAAGACGAGGTGAGACGCGAGTGGTGGGAAGTCGGGAGGTGGACATGTCGGAGACGCTCTGCCTCGCCCTCGCCCTCGGGTCTCTGTCCCTTCCTCTCTCCCTCCGGCCTCCCGCTGGGTGTCTGCCAGTCGGCCCGCGGCGGGGAGTCCCGGAGTTCCTGGGGCTCCCGCTGGCGGTGGGACTCAGGACTGGCCCGCGGGAACCTTCCCCGGCTCGCCCCGCCCCGGCCTGTGTGCCAGCCCTTCCGGCCGTCGGGTCTCGGTCCCCGTCGCCCTCCTTGTTTTTGTTTGGCGGGGTGGGGTTTGTTTCCACAGTAACCGGCGTCTCCGACTCCGGGATTGGGGAGGGAACCCTTCGATTTCGTGACCCCTCCCCCTCTCCCGCTGGGCCGCGAGTGGAGGCGGGAAGCCCGGGTTCTTGGACTTTGGAGGGAACATCCCAGGCTGGGGCGGGGGGGTCACCTGCTCTCCGCCGGGACTAATGGTGGTGGCCAGGAGCGGGATCTGGGGCCCCAGAAGGGGCCAGAAATTGGATTCGGGGCCCCGAGGCCCAGGACTCCTGGGTCCAGAGCCTGGGTGAGGGCAGGGTGACTGGCAGGGCTGGTTTTTCGGGATCGGTTGGGGGAGGGGCTGGGGCCACGTGACCCTGAGTCGGCTGCACAACCCCCCTCCCCATCATCCCAACTTCCCCTTCTCCTTCCTGTACTGGCATTGGAGCCGCCACCTTGAGGGGGTCTCCCAGCATTGAGGGACCAGGGAAGGGGGGCTCCCCTGAAGGACTAACTCTTGGGGCTCGGTCAGTTCCTGCGGGGGAGGGCGGAGCTTGCGGCTGTGCCCGTGACTGAGGTTCCAGCTCTCAAGGCCTCTGCCTCTGGCTTTCTGCCTTTCTCGCTTCCCCCTCCTCTCCTTTGCACCTTGCTTCTCTGCTGTGTTGGGGTTCAGCTCTGGGGGGAAAGGGCGACAGAGGTCTCCGGGCCCAGGGTTCCTGCATTCCACCCACACCCCCACTGCCACCCCCTCGACTCCACCGGGCCCTGAGGCGGCTTGGGGGGGGCTGTCTAGGCCCCAGTGGGGGAGACCTGGGGTCACCAGCCCCCCCCACCCCTCGCACTCGCTGGTACTGTTCCCTGCCACCACAGGTGAGGGGTACAGAGGGAGGATTAGGGCTGGGGGCAGTAGGGGGTGGCGTGGGACTGTCTCACCTCCCCTTCCTTGCTCTGCCAGGCCCCTGTGTCTGTCTGGGATGAGGAGGAGGATGGTGCCACCTTTACTGTCACAAGCCGCCAGTATCGGCCTCTTGATCCCTTGGTGAGATCCTAACTTTGGCTTCTCACCTCTGACCCATGACCTCCCAGTCTCCTGTCCTCTGGCCAACTTTTTGGAGACCTGAACTCTGCTGTGTGACTTTGGTCAATCAAGTTTTTGGCCGTCTCTGAATCTTCGTATAACGAGCCCCCAGCATTTCCTAAGTCTGGGATTTTCCCCAGAGGTCTAGGGGCTAAGTTGAAAACAGGGTCAGTGACTTTCCTTCTGTCTCCCCCAGGCCCCAACGCCTCCCCCTCGGTCCTCCAGAAGGCTCCGAGCTGGCACTCTGGAGGCCCTGGTCAGACACCTGCTGGATGCCCGGACATCAGGGGCTGACGTCACCTTCACACCAGCTTTCCTGGCCACCCACAGGGCCTTCACTTCCACCCCTGCCCTGCTAGGGCTTGTGGCTGACAGGTCAGGGTCATAAGGGACCAAGGGTCATGGAGGTGTCTGGACTTCCTAAAGCCAGAAAATCCCCCCAGAATAGTCAAAGCCACTGGGGGCTTGGGGAAAATGGGCAGATCGAATCTCTTCTCCTTCCTAGGCTGGAAGCCCTCGAATCTCATCCTACTGATGAACTAGAGAGGACAATAGGGTGAGTGACCGCTGATTGTTAACCTCACAGTCCCCTCTGGCTGAGCTGCAGCTTGATAGCTGACCCCTGGCTGATTCCCCTTCTCCCAGGGTAGCCACCTCTGTACTGTCAACCTGGCTGGCCTCTCACCCTGAGGATTTTGGCTCTGAGGTCAAGGGCCAGCTTGACCGGCTTGAGAGCTTCTTGCTTCGGACAGGGTATGCAGCAGGGGAGGGTGTTGGGGGGGGCAGCGCTGACCTCATCCGCAACCTCCGGTTCCGGGTGGACCCCCAGGCCCCCGACCTTCCTAAGCCCCTGGCCCTCCCCGGCGATCCCCCTGCTGACCCCACGGATGTCCTGGTGTTCCTCGCTGACCACTTGGCCGAACAGCTGACCCTGCTAGATGCGGTGAGACCCTGACCTCTGCCCCTGTGCCCCCTGTCCCCTTACTACTCCCCCTGACTCCAGAGCCTTCTCCTTGTTTCTAGCCCTTCCTAAACAAGCGCCCAGCTTCCCCTGTCCACTCTGTTTGATCTTTCCCCCTTCCCCATGATTGTTACCCTTCAAAGCCCGCTCCCCTTTGGTTTCTTGACCACCTGTGATCCTCACGCCCCTGATGTTGGAAGGCTGAGCCCACTTGACTCCGAACCTTGACCTCTGTCCTCTGCTCCACAGGAGCTGTTTCTCCATCTGGTCCCCTCTCAGTGCCTGGGAAGCCTGTGGGGTCACAGAGACCGGCCGGGACATTCCCACCTCTGCCCATCTGTCCGAGCTACTGTCACACAGTTCAACAAGGTGGCAGGGGCAGTGGTCAGCTCTGTCCTGGGAGCTACTTCAGCTGGAGAGGGGCCCGGGGAGGTGACCATTCGGCCACTGCGTCCTCCGCAGAGGGCCCGGCTCCTGGAAAAGTGGATCCGCGTGGCAGAGGTAAGAGAGAGGCTTGGCTCTGTTGGGGACCCTGGTGTGGAGAGAGTGGGCCCAGAGCTCTGGCCTGCCTCTATGACCCTCCCCTCCCCCAGGAGTGTCGTCTGCTCCGAAACTTCTCTTCGGTTTATGCTGTGGTGTCGGCCCTGCAGTCCAGCCCCATCCACAGGCTTCGAGCAGCCTGGGGGGAAGCCACCAGGTGGGAGCACGGGGGCACCGGCCTGGCACTGAGGGGGCGTGGGGCAGGCTGGCCCGTCCTCAAGGCTGCTGCCCCCCACCCCCAGGGACAGCCTCCGAGTCTTCTCCAGCCTCTGCCAGATCTTCTCCGAGGAGGATAATTATTCCCAGAGCCGGGAGCTCCTCTTGCAAGTGAGTCCCTGTTCCCTGGCACTCCCAGCCATCCCTGCTCCCCTTGAGGCACCCCTACCTCCCTTTCCTGTCACCAGCAGGAGGTGAAGCTGCAGCCCTCTCTGGAGTCAAATTCCAAGAAGGCTCCGAGGTCTGGCTCTGGCTCTGGCTCCCGGGGTGGGGTGAGTGACTAGCCTAGGGGGGTGGGGGGTGGGGAGGGTGGGGGGGTGGGGGGGGTAGGGTGGGGGGGAATGTTGTGAAAGAGTGAGGAGTGGAGTGAGGAGGCATTCAGAGGGACGGAAAGGGGAGGCATGGCAGGAGGGAGGGATGGTATAGGCAAGTGCAGAGGGATGGAGAGCTCTCAGATCAGGAGTGGGCATCTGATCCTGACCTCTGACCTCAGGGCGTGGTCCCGTATCTTGGCACCTTCCTGAAGGACCTCGTGATGCTGGACGCAGCCTCCAAGGATGAGCTGGAGGTGGGTGGTGTGCAAGGTCGTTGTGTGCATTGTGATGAGGGAATGGGTGGGCCTCAGGGTTAGACAGACCTTCCAGAAAGGTGCTGCGGGGCGTCAGCACCAAACTCCAGGGCTCCAGCCAGATTGTCGGAGTTCTGGTTCTGTTACTTGAGCAAGTAGCTTAACTTATTTGTGGCTCAGTGATTTGTAAGTGAGAGCGCGGTGACCATGTCAATGCCAGTCTGTTGTCAGGAGGGTTAAATGAAATACTTTTCAGCAGGTGCTTAGAGCGTGTCTGCAGTGTTAGCGTATGTAGCATTTGTTAAAGAAACAAAAACTGGCATCTTGGACAAGTTCCTCATTGTCTTTGAGCCCTAATTTTCCCATCTGTGGAATGGACACAACTTCTACCTGTGATATTCAATTTCAAGGGTAAGGTAGAGAGCTTGGGGCAGGACAGAGGTGAGGGGGAGCTGGGGAGGAACAGGATTCAGAGGCCTAGTGGATGAAATGCTTGAGAAGTTGGATGTGGATGTGTGTGTGCTTGGAAGAGGGTATGTTCTCTCTGTGGCAGAACTGGGCTTCACCCCATCCCCAATATTCTTGCAGAACGGATACATCAATTTTGACAAGCGGAGGAAGGTGAGGGTAGTGCACGCACCGGATGCTAGACCTCTCTAGCCATGTCCCGACAAGGGGAGGTGGTGGGGAAGGTCAGGGGTCCCTGAGATCGGCTCCTGCAGTCTGTGGGCTCCTTCTTAGGAGTTTGCTGTCCTTTCTGAGCTGCGGCGGCTCCAGAACGAATGTCGTGGCTATGACCTCCGACCTGACCCTGATATCCAGCAGTGGCTGCGAGGGCTTCGGCCACTGACAGAGGCCCAGAGGTGACTGGCTGGGTGAGGTTGGGACTCCAGGCCTAGGGCTGAGTGTGGGGATCGGTGTGTCCTGTCCTGACATCTGTCCATTGGCCCTCTTCACAGCCATCGAGTGTCCTGTGAGGTGGAGCCACCTGGTACCAGTGACCCTCCTGCCCCGAGGGTGCTTCGGCCAACACTGGTCATCTCGCAATGGACAGAGTAAGGGTGTCAGCAGTTAGGGGGTAGTGCCATGGGGAAGCTCCTTGGGAGAAGAGCCCTTCTCCCTCTGACCCTCTTAATGCCTTACTGCTCCAGGGTCCTGGGCTCTGTCGGGGGACCCACCCCCCTTGTCTCCTGGGACCGGCCCAGTGTGGGGGGAGAGGAGGTACCTGGAACCCCTGCTCCTCTGTTGACCAGGCTGGCCCAGGTGAGCTCTGTTCCTGACCTCTGACCTCAACACTGACCTTGCCTTTGTGAATGTTTCTTCTTTGACCTCTCTGCCTTCATGCCAGTCCCCCATGTTGTTTGTCCCTAGCACATGAAGTGGCCGTCTGTCTCATCTCTGGACTCTGCCCTGGAAAGCACTCCATACCTGCACAGTCTGGCGGACCCCAGCCACCTCTCTCCCCCAGCCTCCTCTCCTAGGCCTTCTCGAGGTCACCGCCGTTCCGCCTCCTGTGGCTCCCCACTCAGTGGGGGTGCAGAAGGGGCCTCCAAGGGGACTGAATACAGAGGTGGGGGATCTGGGCCAGGGGCCTCTGATTGCCGAATCATCCGAGTCCAGATGGAGCTGGGGGAAGATGGCAGTGTCTACAAGAGCATCTTGGTGAGGAAGCTGCCCCGTGCAGTGGGGCTGAAGGATGATGCCTTGTGGGACTATAGATGTTGTCCTGAATAGCCAAATGGGAGGATGATTCTAGCCTTGGTTCTGACCTGTGCTTATGACAGGTGTTTTATTTAGAAATTTTGTTTTTCATTTTTTAGAGCAAGTGAGCAAGTGGGGTGGGAGGGGCAGAGGGAGAGGGAGACAGAGAATCTTAATCTTAACTCCACACCCAATACAGCAGAGCTGGACGTGGGCTCTGTCCACCTCACAACAGAGATCATGACCTGAGCCACAACTGAGAGTCTGACACTCAGCCAACTGAACCACCCAAGTGCCCGTCAGCTATTTTTTTTTAATTTTTTTTTTTATTTATTTATGATAGTCACAGAGAGAGAGAGAGAGAGACAGAGACACAGGCAGAGGGAGAAGCAGGCTCCATGCACCGGGAGCCCGACGTGGGATTCGATCCCGGATCTCCAGGATCGCGCCCTGGGCCAAAGGCAGGCGCCAAACCGCTGCGCCACCCAGGGATCCCAGCTATTTTGTTTTAAAGGTTACTCGGTGGGACGCCTGGGTGGCTCAGTGGTTGAACATCTGCCTTCATCTCAGGGCGTGATCGTAGGGTCCTGAGATCGAGTCCTGCATCGGGCTCCCTGCAGAGAGCCTGCTTCTCCCTCTGCCTGTCTCTCTGTGTCTCTCATGAGTACATAAGTAAACATCTTAAAAAAACAAAAGAGGCTACTTGGCATTAGCTGCTGTAGCTTCAACTTTGGGGACGATATTAGATCTTCAGAATCCATAGCAGTTTCCTCCTAGGGAAGCAGTCCTATTTCACTGGACACAGTGGGGTACAGGTAACCACTACATAGTGCTTCCCTGTTCATTCTAGAGTGTTTGACATGGGTCACCATTTTCAGTTGGGATCAGCAGTTAGAGCTGAACGGATGGAAAGCAGAGGCAATGGCCAGTTTATTGCTCTTTTGGTCTCCTGTCCTGCCAGGTGACAAGCCAAGACAAGGCTCCAAGTGTCATCAGTCGTGTCCTTAAGAAAAACAATCGCGACTCTGCGGTGGCTTCGGAATATGAGCTAGTGCAACTGCTACCAGGGGAGCGAGGTAAGAGGCCGTGAGGAAAGGCAGACTTGGGAGGAGAGTGGTGCTTCCATAGCCAAGTGGTTGTGGGGGCAATGACCATGTCGCTCTTGATGTTCCTTCTCTGAACACAGAGCTGACCATCCCACCCTCGGCTAATGTTTTCTATGCTATGGATGGAGCGTCACACGATTTCCTCCTACGGCAGCGGCGAAGGCCCTCTACTGCTACACTGGGTCTCACCAGCAGCCCCTCAGCCTCAGGAACTCCCCCAAGTGAGGGAGGAGGGGGTTCTTTTCCCAGGATCAAGGCCACAGGGAGGAAGATTGCCCGGGCACTGTTTTGAGGAAGAAACCCTACGAGCTCAATAGAATTCATGGTGGCCACACCAATGTAGGTCGCCATCCTGAGTGGTGGCAGTCATGTTGCACCGGGAAGAAATCCAGAACGGTGGCCAACCACCCTGGGGCAGTGAAGTGCCACTGGTTTAACCACAAAGCTGAGAGATTCAGCTTTGTGAGAACTGGTTATCTTGGTAACCAAGTTGGGATACCTGTGTATAGCTCCCTACTTTCCATGAATGCAGCACATGGCCAGTACTGGAAAAAAGGATCAGTTCCTGGTTCCTGGCCACAGCCTAGCATTCTAAGGCCAGAGAGGCCTACAAGGAGGAGGGAGAGGAAAAGCCTAGAGGCTCTGAGCCCTGGGGAGAGGGGATGGCAAGAAGTAGGATCTAGTAGGAGTTTATTTGCCTACTCTGGGGGTTCCTGTCACTGTGACAACACTAAAGATAATAAATCAAAACACTACCTACATTCTACTCCCCTGTCCTTGAATTGTGTATGGTTTAGCTTCTGGGAGTGGGGGTGGGGAGATGGCTGAAGGTAGACACCAAAGAACAAGGGGCCCAATGTTTTCTGTCCCCATTGCTGAAAATGAAGTGTTGGCGAAAACAGTTTCCTCACAACAGTTTCCTTCTTCCCAGTAACCTCTCTGTCGGCTCCCTTTATTTGCTATTTTTCTTCTCAGTTGTCACAGACCCATAGCAAGTACCAGTCACCAATTAAAGTGAGCAGATTAAAGAACAATCCGTGGTTGGAAATTTGTAAGAAACAATTTTAGGACAAAGGAATGGAAGAATGACTTTGTGGATAACATATAAACTTGAGGGCCTTACAACATCACAAAGTGTTCCATGCTGGGATTTTAAATCAGCCTAAGCTTCATTCAAACAAATTCTAGAACGAGACTAAGATGCTGGGGCTTTCTGGAGGATGACAAGAAAGCATAAGCAAAAGGGTCACCACATTTCACCCTGGGGTCTCAGTTTAGATTACCGTGAGCTCTGTAGTTAAACTGGCCTTCCCAATGATCGTTGCGTGGTAAATGCTCTTCTCATGTTTCCTAAGGGGCATGCCAACCAAGGCAAGTGTAGTGTATATAGGCAAGTAGGTGTGAGACGTTTCAGATTTTAGTCTCAGTGAAGAAAGGATTACTCTGTGGCAATTCCAGTCACGAGAATTGGGACCGAACAGAGTAATGCAGGTGGCATATATATAAAGTTGAAGGGGCCCAAGGAAGAGACCATCATGACAGGAAGTGGCTGGTCAGAAAACAGCCAGGGGTTTTCACATTTTATTAGCTACAGCATAGACCCTTGAGCTGCCTCATTCCCCCCCCCCCCATGGGGTCAGGCCTTCCCAGAAGCCCCTGCCTTGGCTGCCTGGGCCCTCTGGAACTCCTGCTGCAGCTGAGCCAGGGTCTCCCTCTGTTGCTCTGACTGCCGCTCAAGGTCCCGGAGCTGGGATTCGTATCGCTTACTGAAGAGAGGCAAGAGAGGCAAGCAAATGAGAAATTGGTGGGATTTACTCTTGAGGGTGCTGAAGGGTTGGACTCCCCCCTGGACTCCCTGTGGAGGGTTTGAGGCAGCAAATCAGACAGGGCTAGCCTGGAACTACTCCAACGGCTCCTCGACATTCTATGCTGGGGGTGTCCGGTGCCTTGCAGGGTGTCAGAACAAAGACTCACATTTCAGCTGTGATATAGTCCAGCCTCTTCCCCACTGTGGCACGAGCCTCTCCCAGCTCCTGTTTGACCAGCACAGGGCCCAGAAGTTTAAAGACCACGTTGGATCCATCTAGCAGGGCCAGCTCCTGATGGAGGGATGGGACATACAAAGTCAGAATCACTTCCAGGACAGGTCCCTTCTGGCCCGGCATATCCCTCTCTCACCTCCTTCACGATATTATTTTCTGTTAGCTGCGCCTCAAGCTTCTGTCTCCCCGACATGGATTTACTCAAGTCTGGGGGTTAGGAAGAAAGGGTTGATTAAACACATCAAATGTGCCGCCTGACCCCAATCCTGGTGAGAAGAAAACGGAGCTGAAGAAGTAGACAAGGAGGCGGCAACAGGTCAGTGGGTGGGGACGAGCTCCGAGATGGGGAAGGAGCTGCACGCGGGGCCTCTAGTGGGGCACAAGATATTATCTTGGTTTGGCTTTGGGCTGTAAGTGAAAGGTCTGGGGCGAGGCCGCGCCGACGCTGCTCCCTTACCCTTCTGTAGCTGCTGATATTTCTCCACTTCTCCCTGTAGCTTCTTCTGGATTAGCTCAGCCATGGCGGGGACGAAGGCCCGCGGGGAGTGGGAGCGGGCGCTGGGTCTCACTCTGGGAGGTACCTAACTCCCCTTTCTGGCCCGGCCTGCGGAAAGGACAGCACTCTTGCGAGGCAGCCTCCCAGGGCACCACAGCCTCGCCTCGTCCCAGAGAGCCCTCCACGCAGGCCCCAGGAGGTGGCGGGCGCAGCAAGACCCCAAGCCCCTCAACCGTAACCCAGCCATACTCACGTTCTCGCTTCACTATCACTAAACCTGGAAGTAAACAAAGAATGCTGGGAAAAGAAGGCGCCGGAAGTGTCTTCTGACGCATGCCGGGAACTGTAGTTTTGGCACGTTTAGTGAACGGTGTTCCCCCAGAAAACTGGACTCGGGAGGTTTTAGGCAAGACAGGGAAACGGAGCTGGAAAAAGAAACTGCACCGTTACTTTGTCCCCAGCCCCAGACTACCTTTCTTTCATTACTCGGGCATAAGCGGCTGCTCGGGATTGCGGAGCCAAGACCTGCCCCGCCCCTCGAGAGAGAGTGGGCCCTCATTCAAGATGGCGCTCAGACGGCTTCAGGCCTGGTAGGCACTGATTGGACGAGGGCCGGCGGGCTTCCGGGAGTTTCCGAGCGGTCTGTGGACAGCTGAGAGAAGTTTGCACGTGGGTCGTCGTTCCGGTGGGCTAGATGGAAACAGCCTCCAAACCGGGCAGAGATGTCCAGCCCAAGAAGGCCAGACTTCAGACCAAGAAGAAGGTAGAGACCTCGCTAGGGTGGAAAGGAAATGTTTAGCTGCGGGGTCCCGGGGGTGGGGGGGCGAGGGCTATAGAGTGTTAGAGCTTGTGATCTGCCCGTAGAAACCGCGGAGGTACTGGGAGGAGGAAGCCACTCTGACCGCTGCCGGAGCCTCTCCAGGGCCCCCTCGTAACAAGAAAAGGAATCGAGAGCTCCGCCCCCAGAGGCCAAAGAACATTAACATCCCAAAAAAGTCTCGGATCCCCGGGAAGCCTCAGTTCCCGAAGAAACCTCGAGAACAGAGAAATCTTGAGCCTCAGAGGAATTTGTCCGGGGTGAGCCTGGGACCTGATAAGGTGGTGGGGCAAGTTGCCTTGTACTTTACAGGTGCGATGGTTGGGGTCAACCCTAACCTGTCTGCTAATTGCTTCCTCCTTCCCCAGGCCCAGGATCCATTTCCAGGCCCTGCTCCCATCTCTGAGGAAGTGGCTCGCAAGTTCCGTCGCATTGACAAATCCAAAAAGGTGAGGACCAGCTGGGAGTGAGGAGGCACTGCAGCCTGGGAGAGCATATGAGTGAGTTGGATGAAGAGGAACTGTGTGACTCTCCTGGCACCCCACATAACACCTGGTTCTTTTTTCATTACTCTCCTGCCAACGCTGGTATAGCTGCCACATTCGAAGTCGAAAACACGAAGCCGACTAGAGGTGGCTGAAGCTGAGGAAGAGGAAATAAGTATTAAAGCTGCTCGTTCTGAACTGCTCCTTGCTGAGGAACCTGGGTAAGTGGATCCTAATGTGGACCTCTCCAGGCCCTGCTTGATGGGGCTTCTCATTCTCATTTTTACGTTGGTACACCCACCGTGTATTTGTAAGTTTTACCGCAACCCTAGTGCTCACTCTTAGGTTTCTGGAAGGGGAGGATGGGGAGGACACAGCAAAGATACGCCAGGCTGAGATTGTGGAGGCTGTGGATATTGCAAGTGCAGCCAAGGTGAGTCTGAGGTTGGAAAAGGGGCCACTGGTGGCACAGAGCAAGATAGAAGTGGGAACTAGAGGTGGGAATTACCAAGAGGAGCCCATTCTTCCTTGATTTTTTTTTTTTTCACTTTTCCCTCTCTCAGCATTTTGATTTAAACTTGAGGCAGTTTGGACCCTACAGACTGAATTACTCCCCAGTTGGGAGGTAAGATTGGATATCAGTGACTCTTGAACTAGGATGTGGTTCATCTCCTTAACCATTTCAGCCACACTCACCTCAGCCATACGGTATATGTTTAGGCTGATGACGTGGGGATGGTTCTGTGATTTGTTTGCATATGAGGGTGAGCATGTAAAGCATCTCCTTATCTGGAGAGGCGGGGCCGGTGGGGGGAAGACCTCATGGTCTGAGTCAGGGTGCTTCCCTGTGTTGACATGCTGCCTGTCCCCCACCTCCAACAGACACCTGGCTTTTGGAGGGCACAGGGGTCATGTGGCCACCCTTGACTGGGTAACAAAGAGGCTCATGTGTGAGATCAACGTCATGGAGGCAGTGCGGGACATCCGGTCAGTGGGGGTGGGGCATCTCCTTCCTGACTGAATGACAGTCCCTTGACCCTCTTTCCCTCGTAACCACTTTTCCCCTCCTTCCAGGTTTTTGCATTCAGAGGCACTGTTTGCTGTCGCTCAGAATCGCTGGCTTCACATCTATGACAACCAGGGCATCGAGCTCCACTGTATCCGCCGCTGTGACCGAGTCACACGGCTGGAGTTCTTGCCTTTCCATTTCCTCCTGGCCACGGCTGTGAGTGCCTCTGGAGTGAAGAGACTGGGTGGCAGCCCTTGAGAAGACTGTTTCTTCTCTGGGATCCCAGTAGAAGGATGGAGGGCAATCAGGACTCATTCTTTCTCGCTCTCTCAGTCAGAGACAGGGTTTCTGACCTACCTGGATGTGTCAGTGGGAAAGATCGTGGCAGCTCTGAATGCTCGGGCTGGGCGGCTGGACGTCATGACTAAGAACCCTTACAATGCTGTCATCCATCTTGGACACAGCAATGGTTGGTCTCTAGCTGAGCTTTGACTCTTTGACCATCCTGACCTGCTTTGGTTCCTTGTTTGTACTTTGCACGTTCCTTCAAGTAGCCTCTATTCCTCCCTCTCGTTACCTCTTGGTCTTGAGACCCTGTCTTTCCCAGAGGTAATCACCTCAGTGCCTGTTAGTGACTTTGGCTCCTCTCCCCTGACATCTAGGTACTGTGTCCTTATGGAGTCCAGCCATGAAGGAGCCGCTGGCAAAGATTCTCTGTCATCGGGGTGGAGTCCGGGCTGTGGCAGTAGATTCTACAGGCACGTAAGTCACTTGTTTGGTCCTGAGGTGCTGAGAACATCACAGCTGGGTAGAAAAGTATAGAAGGCAGTGTACTTTTAGGAGCACAGACTCACAGTCAGGCTGTCTAGGTTGTAAATCCTGGTTGGGTAGCCCAGATGGCTCAGTTGGTTAAGTGT